AATATTAACAGTCATGACATCTCACAAATGTCTGTAACTCCAGTTTCAAAGGATTCCATGTCCCTTCTAGCTTCCAAAGGTACCAAACATGCACACGGTACACACATGCACATGGTACACATATGTATGTAAACACATACCTAGATTCATAAAATAAAAATTCAGGAGGGAGAGGTGGACGGACTTGGTTTTGTTCTTGCTTCTTTGTGTTTTTGAGTCAGGGTTTCTAAAAAGTCCTGGCTGTCCTGGAACACTGTAGACCAGGCTGGCCTCAGCTCACAGCTATCCTTCTGCCTCTGCTTCCTGAGTGCTGGAATTAAAGGAGTGTGCCACCATGCTGAGACAACTCTGGGAGTCTGAGGTCATCTTGATGTACTGTTTACATTCTAGGCCAGCCAAGACTACAAAACAACACCAAATACCAAACAAATAAAGGAACACTTATATTCCATGACCTCATGAGAAATACAAAGTTTTGCAAAACCAGTGTAGAAATGTACTGTCAAGCACTCTCAAAAACACCAGTGGATAAAAGTATACTGGAACTTTAAGAGGCAGTTAGTTCATGCAGCGACTAGATAGGACTTTTATCAGGAAATGAGGTCCTCATAAAAAGTGGACCCTTTTCTTTCTTGTTTGTTTCTTTCCAGACAGGGTTTCTCTGTGTAGTCCTGGCTGTCCTGGAATTCGCTCTGTAGACCAGGCTGGCCTTGCACTCACAGGGATCTGCCTGCCTTTGCTTCCCAGGTGCTGGGATTAAAGCCACCATGTCCCAGCAAAGTAATCTTTACAATGTATTGAGAAGGTGAATACCAAATATCAACCCTTGCCCTTGGACTTCCCAGTCTCCAAAACTCCTGAGAAATAAACTTCTGTTTATCCTGTGTTTTATGTAGGTCAAATATTTTGTCATAGCAGTGCATATGTCCGAAACCTATCAAGAGGCTGGCTGACAGAAAGCCCATTTGAGGGAATCCCAAGTGAAGGAGGGCCATTGCTTCTCTATGTGGACTGCATTCTGCAGTCGGCACTCAGTCTCCAGCGGCTGCTTCATCCTAGCTGACAAGTGTGGGTCAGTTACAGTGACTGGTTCAGGATTAGACTAACTGGGCTACACAATCTGAGAAAAGACGTTACTAGAGATCAATATTAACTCTCTGCTCTCAGAATGAACATGGACAGACAGTAGCCTGGTATTTGCCGGTGGCCATTGAGTACCCATAAGGAAAAGCAGCTTTAGGGCCAATAACCGGCTGGTTACCACAGAACCCACAACTTGGCTTAAAATCTTGCAGGTCCCTAAACTGACCAACCTGATAGCCTGGTTTATTTTTGTATCTTACTTTACCTGAAATAATGACCATATTGTTTGGTTGGGGTTGAGAGTGTTAATTACTGGCAGTTGAAAACAGCTTCAAGCCAACTGAAATATCAGAAGCTTGTCTTTTTTAGATGCTAATGTTATCTTAACTGCTGTACACATGCCACAAGGTGTCATAAAAATCTGTGATTAAATTTGATACAGAACATTATCTGGTGTCTAAGTAGATTTCTATTTGTGAAAGGCTAAGAAAACCTTTACCTTCAGGCAGTAGTAGAAGTGCTTGCCAATAAGCCTGCTGACCTGACTTCAGCCCCAGGCTTCACATGGAGGGAGTTTACTTCTCTCTCTGACTTGCACACACATTTTGTGGCACCCAAATGGCTCGCCTGCAGAGAGTTATCTGCAAAGCCAGCCTCACCTGACTTTCCAGACACTCTCTGGGTAACAGTTACGACTCCAGCCCCAGGCAACTGCACTCTAACTTTTTGCCTCCATGGATTGGTCTATCCAGAACACTTCCTATAACAGGAATAGAGTCATTAGGCCCTTGTGTCTGACGTCTTTCAAACATGCATAGTCACAGGACACATCTATACTTTCTTCTTTTTACAATAAACAGTTCAGTGTGTGGATGTACCATACTTTTTACTCTATAGTTTATAAGTAACTGGGTTATTTATACTTTTGACTATTATCAATAGTACAACTACAGTCATCCTAACTACTACACTACATTTATTTATTTGGGGGCAGGGGGCCTAGGGATCCAACACAGGTAGCGGCACACGCCTTTCTCTGCTTACAAAGCCACTTTACTAGTCCTGTCCCAGTCATTACCATTGTTCTAACTGTAACAGTGGAAATGCTGGGGATGCAGTATTTCTAAATTTAGCTTTTTGGGAACTCCAGGCTGTGTTTCCACCCCAGGGCAGCTGCACTTTACACCCCTAGCAGCAGTTCAGGAGGGTCCACCTCCCCCTTACTACATGTCCATCCAACTGGGTTTCTGTCTGCTCTCTGAATATAGCCCAGGTCGTCCTCTATGTCATCACCTCCTGGACGCTGGGAATACATGTGGGTGAAGACATCATCATGTCCAGCAAAAAAGGGGAACTTGGGTCTGCACTAGTGGGTCTCACTGTTGGGGTTCACACTGTTGGGGTGAGTGCTGCTTTGGCCCGTACTCGACTTTTTTCTAAGTTTGACGTACCCTGTCTACCTTATTCATCTAAATGAGTCATGCCTAGAATATTACTTTAATGAAATTAGATACCTTTCACGAAAGGTCTTCGGAGTTTTGCAGCAAGTGCTAAGCCATCCTGTTAGTTCAAATACAAGATACTTTCTTTTAAAGAGTTCCTTAAGAGTATCATACTTGCTATGTGTGGTGTGGTGCATACCTCTAATCCTGGTACTCTGGCAGAGTTTCAGGCCACCCATGGCTATGACTGGGCGTCCAAGAAAAAAAAATGCCTCTCATGTTCTACAGACTGATGGAGACTAATGTTGCTCATTACTAAACAAGAAACTGCTGAATTTCATATTAACTTTTATTTTATTTTCATGTTTTGGGAAAGGGTTCTTGGCCCAGGTTGGTCTTGAATTGACTATATAGCCAAGAATGGCCCTCGCCTCCAGATCTTCTCTTCTCACCTCCAGACCCTCTGCCCTCACCTCCTGACCCTCTGCCCTCACCTCCTGACCCTCTCTGCCCTCAGCCCCAGACCCTCTGCCCTCACTTCCCAGGTATCGCAGCACACTCAGCCCAGTCTGATTCCTTTTTACTTTTTAAATTTTTATTTAATGTTATGAGTGCTCAGCTGCATATACATCCACATGCCAGAAGAGGGCATCAGATCCCGTCACAGATGGTTGAGTCACCATGTGGTTGCTGGGAATTGAACTCAGGACCTCTGGAAGAATAGTAGTCAGTGTTCTTAACCACTGAAATATCTCACCAGCCACTTTTTGTTGTTTTTTTGAGACAAGGTTTCTCTATATAGTTCTGGCTATCCTGGAACTGGAACTCACTGTGTAGCCCAGGCTGGCCCCCAGTGCTGAGATTAAAGGCATGTGCTACCACATGTGGCTTCAGACTGGACTTCTTTCTTTTTTCTTTTCTTTTTTTTTTTTTTTTTTGGTTTTTCGAGACAGGGTTTCTCTGTGTAGCCCTGGCTGTCCTGGAACTCACTCTGTAGACCAGGCTGGCCTCGAACTCAGAAATCCGCCTGCCTCTGCCTCCTAAGTGCTGGGATTAAAGGTGTGCGCCACCACCGCCTGGCCAGACTGGATTTCTAATAGATCCATGTCAACAATGCCTAATAAATATTTAGCAACAAAAAATGACTTGGCAGCCACATGTAGCATGGACGACAGGGACAGACAGCTGGGCTCAGGCCTCCATCTCTGTGAGGCTCCTCCTAGGGCACCCAACACCACATCCATGTGATCATGTCTCGTATATAAAGCAGAACGACAAAGAGTTTTTTAGGGTTATTATGCCTTTTATCCTGAAGATAAGTTATAAGGGGGACATTTAGAAATATAAAATCGGAAAGAAAACACATACAACCACGACTAGTGAGAAGTAAGAGCTCCGGACTTGAGGCACTTAAATTCTATACAGACTTGATGAATTCTGAATTCTGCATTCAAGGACCAGAAGAGGGCATCAGAGCTCATTACAGATGGTTGTGAGCCACCCTGTAGTTGCTGGGAACTGAACTCAGGACCTCTGGAGGAAGAGCAGTTAGTGCTCTTAACCACTAAACATATCTCCAGCCAACCAGGCTGCTTTTTACAAAAAAGAGCCAGGCCTAGTGGCACATACCTTTAATTCCAATATTTAGAGGCAGAGACATGGGTATCTGAATTTGAGGCCTGGTCTACAGAGGGAGTTCCAGGAGAGCCAAGGCTACACAGAAAAACTGTTTCCAAAAAAAAAAAAAAAAAAAAAAAACCACAAAAAAAAAAAAAAAGAAGTGTAAGTCTGTCTCGCTATAAGTGGATAAAGGCAGCTTGAAAACAAGGAGCAGGAGCATTTCATGGAGTCCCCAGCACAAGTGACACTTTAAGAACGCAGTAGGAACCAGGCAGTGGCAGCACACGCCTTTAATCCCAGCACTTGGGAGGCAGAGGCAGGCGGATTTCTGAGTTCGAGGCCAGCCTGGTCTACAGAGTGAGTTCCAGGACAGCCAGGACTACACAGAGAAACCCTGTCTCAAAAAAACAAAAAACAAAACAAAACAAAAACAAAAACAAAAAGGAAAAAAAAAGAAAGAAAGAAAAAGAAAAAAGAACACAGTAGGACAATAGTATTACGAGGATTACTCTTCAGAGGACTGAATATTTTCTGCCTGTCTTACAATAAGGCAAAAGCAAAGGCAAAACACAAAGTCACATGCAGCTCTAAGTTTAAACACTGCTATTAAAATTTTAAAAGTTGTTACAATTTAAAATTCTAGGTAATAAAGTTCAAGCAAGTATCACCTCTGACCTTCCAACACATGATCCCATGAAAGCTTTTAACGTAGCCTAACACATTTGTAGAATACAACGTCAAGAGGTTGGACTCTCTGGATAAACACTCCAAACAGAGAACCAGCAGTTAAGTTTCTACTTCTAATACAAATATTATGTAACCACTGATGGACGCAGAATCAGGGCTCAGACTTACCTCAGCAGGAGTTCTTTGGGAAGTTTTTTATTGATTACAGCCTCATCACTGTTTGAGAACATCTGTAAAACAAAATAAAAATCGCTGCATCGGGCATTAACATTTATCATGTGCACAGTTTGGATAAAATGTTATAAAAATAATTAGTGGGGACCCAGCAAAATGGCTCAGGAGGTAAGTGCTGCCAGGCTTGATGGTCCGAGCTTAGCCCCTGGGAACCATGAGGTAGAAGGGGAGAACGAGCGGCTGAAAGCTCCCCTCTTCCCTTCCTCCCACGTGTCCACACATGGCTCAGAGGGAACAACGCTAGCCTCATCACCCGAGGATTCCACCTCAGGAACCACAGCAGACACCACACCCCTGAGTTATGGCGGGAGGGACTTTTTTATCCAATTCTAGCGCCTGTACTGAGCTACAGAACTTGGAGACGGCTTCTCTTCCCCGCTACACTAATAAGTTCCCCAACATCTAATCACAGAAGCGTCTCCTCTGCAGTCTGAAAAAGGTACCTTATCTGTCCTGTGAGTTGTTGTTGCAGCTCCTACCCCAGTCTCTCCAGCTGTGAGTGTCCTCAGCAGGTCTCTCTACTGAGACCTAAATACTGGAATGTTATCTAACCTTGAACTCACAGAGATCCACCTGCCTCTGCCCCCAGTGCTGGGATTAAAGGTGTGTACATCACACAAAGCCCTTTTTCTTTTTAGAGATTTGTTTATTTGATGTGCTTGGGTGTACTTTGCATGCATACACAGATATGTTTACCACCTGAATGCCTGATGCAATGAATCCTCTGGAACTGGAGTATCAGAATGTTGTGACCTGCCATGTGGGTACTGGGAATTGAATCTGGGTCCTCTGAAGGAACAGCCAGTGTGAGCCATCTCTCCTGCCCAACTTTTTGTTTTGTTTTGCCTTTTTTGTTTGTTTGTTTGTTTTGTTTTGTTTTGAGACAGGGTTCCTCTGTGTAGTCCTGGCTGTCCTGGAACTCACTCTGTAGACCAGGCTGGCCTCGAACTCAGAAATCCGCCTGCCTCTGCCTCCCAAGTGCTGGAATTAAAGGTGTGTGCCACCACTGCCTGGCTTTGCCTTGTTTTTTGAGACAGGATTTCTCTGTATAGCCCTGGCTGTCCTGGAACCTCACGCTGTAGACCAGGCTGGTCTTGAACTCAGAAATCCGCCTGCTCCTGCCTCCCAAGTGCTGGGATTAAAGGTGTGCGCCACCACTGCCTGGCTTTTTTTTTTTTTTTTTTTTTTTTTTGGAGAGACAAGGTTTCTCTGTAGTCCTGGCTGTCCGGGAATACATTCTGTAAACCAGGCTGGCCTTGAGGTCCTTGAGATCCACCTGGCTCTGCCACCAGAGTGCTGGAATTAAGGAATGCCTGTTTACCTTTCTGTTGTTAAGATTCATGAGCTTGGTGTGCTACACTGTAACACTAAGTGCAGAAAGATTTCCTCTTATGCGTTACTCTATGAGCCTGTGCTCTTACTGTGCCCATGACCTGGTTGTGTGTGTGGTGTAAGAACACACCCACCTGCTTGCACACGTACACACTGACTGGTTCCTGACCTGGTGTCCCACTCGGACCACTCAACTGTGTCAGTTCCTTTATTACAGTCACTTGAGCTAATGTGCAAAAATGGTCTCTGGATTCTCCATCCTGTTCCTTTCAACTCTATAAAATTTTATGTCATTGCCACAGACCTGGAGGGCACTGCTGTCCTAAAACCCTGAGTTTTCAAAATTAGAACCATGGATTATGTCTCCATTTATTTAGGATTACCTTGATTTCCTCCAATAATTCTGGTAATTTTTTCATGCGTAAGCTTTTAATGTTTATTTCTACAGTACTCTATTCTCTTTAATGCTATTGTTGGTGAATCACATTCCATCCTAAGATGGCTCTCCCTGGTGTGCACAAACCAGCATCTCTCTACCCTTCTGCTTTCAGCCCATTTGTGTCTTTGAGCCCAAAATACATCTTTTCTACACAGCATAAAGTTCAATGTTATTATCAAGTCTTACAACCTATGTCTTTCAAAAACAAAACAAAAACCCAACAGCATCTCACTATTGTAGCCTTGGCTGGCCTTGAACTCACAGGGATTCACTGGCTTCTGTTTTCTAAATGCTGGAACTAAAGGCTAGCACCACCACAGCCAAGCTAGAGCCACCATGACCAGCCTACAACTTTTTTTTGGTTTTTCAAGACAGGGTTTCTCTGTGTAGACCTGGGGCTGTCCTGGAACTCACTCTGTAGACCAGGCTGGCCTCGAACTCAGAAATCTGCCTGCCTCTGCCTCCCAAGTGCTGGGATTAAAGGCATGCGCCACCATCGCTCGGCCAGCCTGTGACTTTTGACTGAAGTGTTTAACCTATTTCTATCTGATTAGACATGCCTAATCATTCTACTTGCTTTCTATATTATTTTATTTTTTCCATCTTAACAGCTGGCTGAGTGTCCTCTCCTGTGATTCTTCACAGGCCAAGAATGATTTTCCTCCATGGTCTTGGGGGGTTGTACTTCATTTTATCACCAGCTTCCAAGGAACTCACTGGTGAGTTCTAACTCTTTTCCTCTTTAACTTTCTTCATGTTTTCCAATAGAAAAGTTCTGCCGTGCCATCATAATGCCTCTGTTGTAAAGATTTATTTCTTTTAAATGTGTGACGTTTTGCAGGTTTGAATGTCTGCACCACACATGCCTTGGTGCCTGTGGAGGTCAGAAGAAGGAGCCCAGGCCCCTTGAGTTCTGAAGAGTGGTGGGCAACCATGCAGGTGCTGGGCACCAGAACTGCTCTTCTGCACGGAAAGTTGTTTCTTGTTGTTTTCTTTTTCTGTAGCGCAGACTGGCCTCAAATTCATTGGTTCACTGACCTATGTTTCACAAGCGCCAGGGTTAAAGGCATGTGCTGCCATGCTTGGTAAGTTTTCTCAATTGCTGAGCTATTTCTCTGTCCCCTTCCTTCATTAAAAAAAAAAAAAATTAAGTTGTTCTAGCAATTCCAGTATGCATCTTAAGGAGCCACCATGTACTTCAGATTGCTCATTCTTACAAAATACAGAAAGTACACTACAAGAGAATTCTTTTTTCTTTTTCTTTTTGCTATTATATATTTATCTGATAAACCCCAAACTATAGTTTTTAATTATGCAACTGTCTTTCAATTCAGTCCAGATAATAAAATAACAGTTTACTTATAGTCTTTCAAATTCCCCTCTGTAACTAACATTTACAGTGTATTTTCTTTGAGTTACCATCTGGTACCGTATCCTTTAAGCCTGAACAACCTCTAAGAGTTCATGTAAGGCAGATCTGAAAACAACAAATGTTTTGGTGCCTGCTTATTGCAGTTTTAATTTTTTTCCTCTAATATTTTGTGTTTGTGTTTTTAAAACAGGGTTTTGATCTATAACCCAAGCCAGCCCTGAACTCATATGCCTCAGTTTCTCTGAATAGCAGTGTACTTGGGTTCTCTGAATAAAGAGTATCAGTAGAAGATTACACTGCATGTGTATGTCTCTGTATCTATAGAACTATATCAACAGACTCATACTGGGGAATGATTAGCTTGTAGAGCTGGTACCCAAAAGTAGGGTGGGGCTGGAGTGCGGCTGCTATGATGTCCAAGGGTAGGATAGGGATGCCTTCGTGTAAGAGATGTGGGGAGGGAAACACCAGAAAAATATTTTTTATCTAAGTATAAACAAACCCCCTAAAGTCGACACATATAATTAACTAACATAAACTTATTGGCAGTTAAGGATTAAAAACTAGGCCCTGCATATACAAGCACTAATTTCCAGTCCTTTAAAAACTTTTCACAATTGGCCAGACGGTGGTGGCCCACACCTTTAATCCCGGCACTTGGGAGGCAGAGGCAGGCGGATTTCTGAGTTCGAGGCTAGCCTGGTCTACAGAGTGAGTTCCAGGACAGCCAGGGCTACACAGAGAAACCCTGTCTCAAAAAAACCAAAAAAAAAAAAACCAAAAAAAACAAAAAAACAAAAAAAACAAAACAAACAAACAAACAAAAAAATCCTTTTCACAATTAAAAAGAAAATCCATCAACTTCTTTTTATGTGTGCATGGAGGTGGGCATCATATACACATATACAGCTCAGAGGACAATTTGTAGAAGTCGGTTCTAACTTCTATCATATGGGTCCCAGGGATGGAACTCAGGTCCTCTTAACTCCTGAGACATCTTGCTGGTCCTTGTTTTTTAATTTTTGAGTCAGGGTCTCACTGAGTTCCCCAGCTAGCTTCTAGCTTCAGGCTAGAGATTGGAGGAAATGTATCACCACATTCACTTAAAAATTTTTTAGTTTTTTTTGCTTTTCAAGACAGGGTTTCTCTGTGTAGCTCTGGCTGTCCTGGAACTCATTCTGTAGACCAGGCTGGTCCCTGGCTCTGCCTCCAGAGTGCTGGGATTAAAGGTGTGAACCACTGCTGTCTGGCACTAAAAAGCTTTTTTAAAAGGGGAAATTCATGTAATGAACTGTTTTAGAGTGTGCATTTTAGGGTATCTCAGTGCATTTTAATGTACTTAGTTGCTGGGCTATTACCCTCTTCTAGTTCCAAAATGCTCAGTCCCCCTGAATGTTCTATGTCCATCTAGAAGTCATTCAGAAACCCTGCTGCTCTCTCATAGTTCAGAACTGCCACTGATTTTCTTCAGGCTATATATTTTCTTATGCTTGCTTATTTCTTATAAAGGGAACTGAAATGTGATGTTTTATGAATCACTGATTGCTTTTTACAATGGTTCTGGGATTTATTTACATGGTAGCAGTACTTTGTTTCTTTTTAATATTTGAATAACAACCAGGTCCTTTGTATATTCTATGTTTTTTTTTGTTCATTCATGTTCTTAATACCCTTTGAATATTGTAAATACTGTTGCCATTAGCATTCTTATATTTGTGTTTATGTGAATACCTATTTTTAATTCATTTAGGAATGGGGTTATGGTCATGTGACATTTTGATAAAATTTTAAAAGAGTCATTAAATTGATTTCTATAGTGGCTATACCAGTCAAAATTTTTGTGACAAATAAGG